AAGTCCTATGCAATTTACTTAGTTGTTTACAAAACCAATAAAAAAGGCAGAAATATAAAGTGGCTCCTAAAACTACTGATGCAATCGTAGGCTGTATCCATGTACACACGTGTTCATTCATTCCACGCAAGGTTTATTAGGAGCACACTATGTTTTGAGCCCAACATTACAAGTTAAACACATGTACCAACACAGGGATCTCAACAAAGCAATTTAACTACTCCAAGTCTGCTCCCCAACCTAAAAGAGGAAGACAAAACTTAAGACTAACCTACAGGGCTGCTGTGAGAATTAAATGATATGATGTGTATGTAAAAAGCCCTGACACAGCACCCAGTCTTCGTGGTTAGTATCTGTTCACTTGTCAGCTACAGAAGAGATTAGTGTCTTGGGTGGAGGTTGAACTGGGTGACCTTGTCTTTTATACCAATGAAATTCAAGGAGAAATAAAGATAATATAGTTCAAACTTCCTACTGCTTGCTACACAATGTTCTACCTAACTTAGGCTATATTATTAAAGGCTAATATTACAAATCTTTGGAGAGAGAAATAAATTTAAAATGTGTGAGAAAGAAATACCAGAAATTTCTTTTTCAGAAATTTCCAGAATATCCCACACAAGCCTTTTAACCTCCTTGGCCAGAGCTATAGGACAGCTGAATTGTTCACTGCTCACCTTGACCACTGACCACAAAGTACCCCATCAGGCCCTTTATCATCCACCCCTTGTGCTGAGGCTTTCCTGCCCTGGAACACAGGAAAAAGCAAACTGAATCAGAAAAAAGGGAAGAGGTGGGGAAATGTGATTGAAATATTGAAATAAACATTCTCGGACTAAAAAGAGAACTGGAAAAGGTTTTCGCTGTAATCACAAGTTCAAAAACAAATCAATAAAAACAAACGAATCCATAAGGCTAATTATGTCTGATTTTGTACCATAGAGTTCATACCTGTCACTCATTTCATGTCTAATTATATATTGCCTCTTATCATTCTCTAAATATTTCTTATCTTATTTCCTTGATTGGATTCTTGAGGATTAGAAACCTAATTTTTATGTCATTTTCAGTACTAACAATACAATAAAACAACAAACACCAAAACGAATGAAAAGTTAACATATATGTATTTCCTGTAATAAATAATGTCCCTTATTAAACCTGGCAGATTGAACACATTCATCTCTGCCTTTTTTCCCAAAACCCAACTAAAACGACAGTAAAGAACTTTCAAAGGTATAAATTCACAAGAATAGTGACAATACAATGGAAGATACCAGTTACCAAGAAGTTCTGACAAAACTCTGGGAGCTGAAAAGAGTATGAACAGGTTGCAACTAACTTACCTGACTAGAGAAAGCTGAAACCTAAGGCTGCAGAAGGGGTGGACCTGGGGCGGAGAGAGGCCAAGAGCAAGCCGATGGGTAGAGCGCCACTCCAGAAAGACTCAGTAACCGGAAGTAGCACCCACCGGGTGACTGGGCCGGTGTACACAGTGGGCCTAAAAGCTGAAGGACTGGCTGAACATCCACCTGAGGAGCGGGCTCTACCAGAAGCCCTCTCCACAGGCCCAAGCACCTGCACTGCCTCTACCACCACAGAAGACCACACACCAGAACGGCATCGAGTGGTTCCCCACTAACATGGATCCTCGCCTGCACACCCCTTCAGGCCACAGGGCTCCTACCAGCACCTTGCTACGCACACAGCCTTCCATTAGCACTTAGATACAACAGCTGGCCAAGAAAGCCTAGACTTCTGTAGGTTACTATAAAAAAAAAAAAAAAAGGAAGAAAGGGAGAGAGGAGGGAGGGAGAGAAAAAAAAGTAAAATAAATGAAAAGAAAATAAAAAGGGAAAACAGACAAGGAAGCAGAACAAAAATATAATAATGCCACCACAGAGAAATGATATGATACTGCATCCATGACGGAAGAACAGGAGGAATCTCTGAGGGAGAGAAAGAGAGAAAGAGAGAATATTGAGAGAAAAAAAGAACATAAGAAAACTATGATTCTGATTATTTCATTTTTGCTGAAATGTGGATGTGAGAGCTGGAGCTGCCATTTTACATGTAAAATAGAAACAGGCTGATGATCGAACAGCAAGTTAAAATGAGCCTGGGTCTTGAATGATCTCTGAGTTGCCACAGTAGCACTAGACCAGGGGTGTCAAACTCATTTTCACTCACCGGGGGCCACATCAGCCTCATGGCTGCCTTCCAAGGGCTGAATGTAATTTTGGGACTGTGTACATGTAACTGCTCCTTAACAGTTAAGCAAGAGCTCGGTGCTGCCACTGGGTAGAAACAAGGTGCTGGGCCGGACAAAACAAGGTGGAGGGCGGGATTCGGCCCACAGGCCTTGTGTCTGCCACCTGTGCCCTAGACTATCTCCATAACTAGGACATTAAAAATAAAAGCAAAAACAAAAACAAAACCACTCTGGCTGGTGTGGCTTGGTTGGAGCATCATCCTGTAAGCAAAAGGTTGCGGGTTTGATGCCCAGTCTGGGTGCATGTGGGAGGCCACCAACCCATGCTTCTCTCTCGCATTCATATTTCTCTCCCCCTTCCTCTCTCTCTAAAAGCAGTGGAAAAATGTCCTCAGGTGAGGATTAAAAGAAAAACCAAAAATTCTTCTTTCATACACAGTTGGGGGCTCTCCTGCCACTTGCACTCCAACCCAGCACATGCTGCACAGTAAGTTTTTCCTCAAACCCCTACCATATGAAACGAAGGAAATTGTGTTCCAGGCTTACTGTCCTATTATTCCTCTCAATTATGCTTAAGTCTACCTTACATTAGCCAAGAAAGCTGAATGCTAAAAACAAATTTCAGGGTCCCATTCTAACCAAGCCTACCAAGTGCACTAGAATGCAGTCCGAGGGACCCGGGGAGCAGTCCCAGGTGTCCGCAGCACACTGCTCCCATTGTCTGCAGATGCTGCAGAATCACTCCACCACGGCTTCCCTTCAGTTTCCCTTCAGTCTGACTTTCTTCTTTTAAATTCATATTGGATGACTGACGGCTCACATAATAAATAGTTTATCTGTCTACACTCTCCCCCCAGGAAGAATATGCCTTTTTGAAAGTGAGGCTCCATTAGACACCTGAAGTCCAAAATTAGTTCTTGGCTCTTTTGTCTACGGTGAACACTGCTGCTTTTAAGTAGTTCTGCATTGTTGTAAACTAGCTATTAAAAAACGCTATTCAGTCTCATATAGAGGCAAAATCACTTTCATAACTAAACTACAAATCCTAGAGACAGAATGATAAGAATATGGAATAAAACACAGATCAGTATGAGTTTAACTGCTCAGCTCCACACAACATCACCTATATTGTAATTTATAATTAGTCTCACATTGTTTTACCATTTCCAAAGTAAAAATTTCACAAAAAGCTCACAGACAACTGTTCTGGCAAAGAAAGGTCAATATAGCCCTAGAATAATTTTCTCATGAAGTCTGTTACAATTAATCAACTTAGTAGTAGGCCACTCCTATCCTCACTCACCTTTCTCTCCAGGTTCTGACTACTGATCACTGTAGTCAGAACCTGGAGAATGGCACAGGTGGGTAAGCTCTGCAAGTACTGGCAGTGGACACCTTCATGTAGAATAAACATAAGAAAAAGGACATCTTAAACACGCCAAGCCTCAAATGTAAAACAGGACGGTAAAGAGAAAAAAATGCTCTCAGTAGACCACGGTTCACATATTTCTGGCTTTCAGTATTAATTCTGCCAAATTCTTGTCATCTTTGGGACTGAGCACTTCAAAATGAGCTCAGGACTCTGAAAGGCACCTCCCACCCGATGCGATCAATCAAAAGTAAACAACTATTTCTATATTGTTGCAGTGCAAAAAGAATGAGCCTTCCTCATTAATTAAAGCATCGAACTCTTTCCTTTGTTTCTGCTCATGACTAGAATAACCAGTTTACCAAACAACTTCCCCCAATCCTTGAAAGTTATAGTACTTATTGTTTATGGGTGAAGGAAGAACTTGGGGGATGACAAAATTTTAATCTTGAATTGTAGACCCCTTCACATTTGTACGGAAAATTTCATCATATTCTTGGCACTTATTTCTATACTTTTTAAAAGTACTTAAATACTTGGAGGACAGATAATATCTATGGGAGAGAAAGTTGACAATTTTCTTACTTGTATAAAGTATAGTTGGTACAGCTGATAAGTACTGTTTCTATACAGAGGTGTAATGACCACTTCCGCCCCGCCCCTCAAATCAGTGGAGGGCCACACAGCCTAAAATGTATGCTGAGGGAGGTTCTGCTGAAGGACCAAATGCCACTGACCTGCCCCAGAGCAAATAGGGCAACATCACCTACCAAAATCAATGCTCAGCACTCAGGAAATTTGATCTTCCCATAAATGTCACAATCATCCCACCAGACCCTGGCCGGTCCAGGTTCCATGCAACTTCCACCGCAGTCCTTGGGACCAGTTTTTCCCTCTGCCTATCTCCCAAACTGACCTCTAGGCAGTATTTCTCAGTTTGGGGCTTTGCTCAAAGGGAATCCATGAAGTTGGGAAATTCCTTCGTATCACACAGTGATTTGCCTCTTTAATCTCCATGCCCCTGAAGAGGTTAGGGGTTACTGACCGAAACACACTGGAGGCCCAGAACACTTGCCACAAAGTAAATGAAGGTGAGGCAGGCCCCTCAGCCCAGGTTTGCTGCCTTTGCATTCTAGTGCGCTATCAAACTGTACTTTAATTAATGCTTAATACGTCAGTAAGTACAACTAAAAAGATACAGATCCTATCCTTGTATCCCTTCCTAAAAAACAAATAAGAGGTGTACTTGCAGAACAAAAATAAGACCAGATGAAAGAATAACTCATGTTGCCAAATCAATAGAAGGTGGATGTTTTAGCAAAGTCCCTTGTTTAATATTCTGAATTTACCTAAAGTATGAAACAAATATAAATCAGAATATGAAACTGTGTTTTGTGGTATAAAATGGAAAAATCTTACCTTCTCAATATTTAGTTGGTGCTTTCTTAACCTCTCCAGGTCTGTGGGGATTACTATTTTAATAAATTTCTGGATAGCTGGTTCGAGGCGGCGTAGTTTCACTTTTTCTTCGTCCTCAGACATCCTAGTAAATGCTGTGTCACTTCTACTCGCAACAACTGTCTTCTCTGCTCATGCAGGAAAACCTAGGAGAGAATCTGAAAAAATGTTTGAAAATAAGTTCCTATTATTTTTAGAAGCCCGCCACTAGGTATAATTTTATAACTCATTCTAAATACATATTCAACTTAATGCTGAACTTCAGGGGCTGATTTTTTAAAGAAACCTTTTATTTTTAAACCCTTTTCTCTGTCCAGAAAGAATGTATATTTCCTTTAGAATGTTTAGAAAACATGAAAAAGGGTAAAATAAAATCAACAGTCATCTGCTCACCCCTAGTTAATTACCCATCCCTACTCTTTCCATTTTGATGTGTCTTTCCAGGTCTTTCAAATACACACCTTTTTAAAAACTAGGAGTAGAGTACCCAAGTTTTAATTTCCAGTGTACCTTGGGCATTGAATAAACTTTTTGAAAAGATGTCAAATGGTAAAATTGGAAAAAAATTAATTCTTAACATTTCTGCAAGTGTCAAACTTCATTTCTAATGTCATCATAATGTATCTATGTAATTATATACTTTAAATGTAACATAGCATGCAACTCTTCTCATTGATGTCCCTTAAATTGCCTCTTCCCTTTTTTACAAAGTAATTAGCATTGTCTACAACCAATGCAAATAATCAGTGACACAGCTGAAATAACAACCCAGGACTCCTTAGCGCCAATCAAATGCTCTTTCTAATTCACCAGTTTCCTGCTAGTGCCCCAGAAGGTCCAAAGGCACGCTCTGTAGGCCAGAGTAGGTGAGAACAGGGATTGGCGAGTGAGCAGGTTGCAGGACTCCAACACCTACTCCAACGGGAAAAAATGTCTATGTTTATCTATGTCTATTTCACAAATTTGAGTTTATAAGATTTTATGTAAATAAAGAGCTCCACCATGGTTCCATGTGACCTCATGTTCCATATTTAAAAATAAATAAATAAATTTGTCATGTTAATCCCATTGGCATGATGTCTTAGGCCAGGGTCCGTAGAGATCGGGGTTCACAACAAGACTCTGCAGAGTCACTGAATCTCTGTGAAAAACTGTGGATGCACTTGGATTTATTCTGGAGGACAAATCCATTGCTTTTGTGTGATTATCAAAGGGATCTACCACTCCAGAAACATTAGGAGATACCACTCTAAACAATGTTCTGTTTCTCTTTCTTTTCACAGTTGAAAATTTCGAAGTGTTGGCTATACATACAATCTTATTTGCTTGCAACTTGAATTTTATGTTTGATCTAAGCTCAAGAGCAAAAAAGGAAAAAAATCTCCTCCAGACACCAAAAATGAGTCCTCTGGTATTGAGTGGGAATCGGAGACACATGGAGAAGCTAACTGCCAAGAGTTAGTCCTCAGACCCAACAAAACAAAAAAATTCAGAGTTAAGTGACTAGAGATAATAAAGTCATCTAAAAAGAAAATGAAAATGAGTACGTTTTAAAATATTCTAAGACATAAAGGAAGGAATAGAATCTTTTTTTAAAAATAACTTTAGGAGACAGAAACAGGCCAATCTAAAATAAACCAAGTAAAAAGTCTACTTTAAAAATTCTACTCAAAAACCTTACAAGATTGGTTAAACAGTAAACTCCATAGCTGAAGAGAGAATTGTTGTTTGGAAGATATCGGTCAGAACACAGAGGAATAAAGAGGTACAAACTATAAAAAGAAAATAAGGTGCATAAAGGATACAATGAGAAGCTCAGTAACAAATGGAAGTCCCATAAGGAAAGAATAAAGTGATGAAAAGGCGGCATTCAAAGAGAGTGTGCTCAGATTTAAGATGTAGGACCTCTAATTGAAAACGCACATAAGCTAGAGAGGCATTCAAAAAAATTTACCTGAACATATGGAAGGGAAATCGTAGAACATCACAGACAAAGAGAAAATTGTAAAAAGCAAACCAAAGGAGTAGCTGACCAAACTAAACCAATAAAAGTAGCTAACTTTTCATCAAAGCAAGATATCAAGACAGGAATATCTTCAAAGTGTTGAAGGAGTTGGTATATACCCAGGGAAATTCTTATTTAGAAGTGAAGGCAAATAATAATTTTCAGACATACAAAGACTGAGTTTATTACAAAGCCTATTATTCACACCCACCCAACCGCACCCCCTCTCCTCTTTCCCCTCTAAAGATAAATAAATAAAATCTTTAAAAAAAAAAATAAAAAATAAAAGAACTACTAAAATGCACACTTTAACAATGAAGTCAATAAACCCAAAGGAGTAGAATGGCAAAAAGCAATCAGTATAGTAAAGTGTATTACTACTGGGTGAATAAATGAACGAATGAACAAAGAAAGGATGTATTTTGAATAACCTGATTAAGTACAACAAAAATATTTCAATTTAAGTTACTTTCCTACAACATATCTTTTAGTAATTCATAGTATTACTTGGCATAGATGTTCTATAATATAATTAATCATCTTTGTTGGCTATTTTGGTTGTTTCTAATTTTCCACCATTATAAACAATACCACAGTGTAATTATCCTCCTTGCACATAAACCAAACTATTATCTATAATTATTTCTTTAGATACCTGGAAATAGAATTAGTAGGTTTATACATTTTTTAGGACTTCTGATACCAAATGTCCCAAAAAAAGGGACTTTTTTACATTTACATTTCTATTTACATTTCTTCTTGCAACACATCAAAGTGTCCATTTATCCATAGTTCAACCAATACTTGGTATGATTACTTCTCTTGGACATTTGGTGATAAAATAGTGCCTCATTATTGTTTATTGTTCAATTCTTAAATTACTAATGAAATTGATTTATTAGCCATTTGCATTTCTTTCAAGAATTGCGAGCTCATGCAAAATGTCTGTTTTACTATCAGGTATATCCTTTTCTTGTTGTATTTAATATATACTAGACTCTTATAAAGTATCGACTCTTTATCTAACATTCATGTTTCCCAGTGTCAGTGTACATTAAAAAAACTTATAGGAAGTTTTAGGAAACTTATAGGAAAAAATTCACCAAAAAATTGGTGAATTTTTGTGCAGCCATTTTCATATGGAACATGGAAGAAAATACACAACAGTTTTGCTATATTACGCTTTATTATTTCAATAAAGATACAAATGCAACTGTAATACAAGAAAAGATTGGTACAGTGTGTGGAGAAGGTGCTGTGACTGATAAAATGTGTCAAAAGTGGTTTATGACGTTCCTTGGTACTACTGACATGTTGGCCCAATAACTCTGAGCTATGGGACTGTCTTATGCATTGGAAGATGTTAGCAGCACCCTGGCCTCTACCCACTAGAAGCCAATAGTGGGAGATAGATAGCTGACATACTCAAAATATCCAAATCAATAAAGTTATTGGTGAAAATGAAAAGTGTGTCTCTTATTTTATCAAAAAAACTAATGGACCTTTTGGCCAACCCAATACTTTAACATTTTTTAAAAAGTGTAAATGGAATATATTATTTTAACAGTTTTTTAAAAGTGTAACACAATATCTGGGGTGACAGAATTGGTCTGTGACATCCTGACACTGTGATGGATACACAATTATATGCATTTGTCAAAACTCATAGAACTATATATGACAAAATAAATTTTTATAAAATAAAAACAAACCAAAAACCCTCACACCAGTATGTGGGGGAACCCAAATGGAATACAAACCCTGTGGAACAAAACTAACTACACCAAAAATGAATAGCATAGGATAACCCCACTGAAAGAAGTGGGGGAAGAAAATAACTAATCTAGGTAACTTCATAAAACAGTGCTACCCAGTACTTTCACTGCCTAACATAAAGTTAAAGACAAAAAGAACCACACACAACAATACTATACACTCGTTAGTAAAACTGTTCTCACAGGAGTATGGGTTAGAAAGACTGAAATTATGTAGTAGGATTGAACAAGTAAGAAAATATTATATAGAACATGAAAACCAGATTTCTTGCTGTCAAAAAAATACAAATAAGATGCAAGAACAGAATGAACCCTGTGGTATCAGATGAGAGTCAGAGGTATAAGACCACCAAGGCAAGATGGCAGCACAGGTAAACACGGCTCACCTCCTTGCACCACCACATCAACTTACAACGAAACCACAGAACACCAGAAACTGAGTAAATAGAACTTCTATAACCACAGAATTAAAGATGAAACTGCACTGAGACTGCTAGGAGGGGCAGAGATGAGGAAAGGGCTGGTCTCGCACCCACGAGTGGCAGATAAAAATCAGGAGGGATATCTTGGGGGCGAGGGGTCCCAGTTCCATACCAGAACCCTCAGCCCAAGGTTCCAGCAACAGGAAGATAAGTCCCCATAACTTCTGGCTGTAATGGGGACTCAGGCTATAGAAGACAGAAACTTTTGGAGTCCCAGGCTGTTACTCTTAAAGGGCCTGCACATGGACTGACTTGGATTTGCTCCCTCTGAGCTCCAGCACCAGGGTAGCAGCTTGAAAGGCACCCATGGCCAACAGTGAGGAACTGAAATGTCCAGCATCAGGGTGAGAGCGGGGGGCAGCTTTCTCCCAGACAGAAAGTTGGCAGTAGCCAGTATTTCTTCGATGAGCCCTCCCCCCAGAGAGACAGCATGTGGGGACCATACCTGAGACTCAATCAACCTGGCTCTCACTTTGTCCCATGCAACTTTCAGGCCCACAAAAAACTGTTTCCAGTGGCTTTTCCACACAAATGGTTTCTCTTGGTTCATGCTGCAGACTTTCCTAAACTCTCTCAAATAAGCAACATCTGGCCTTAGCATGCACCGTACCTCTCACTTAGTGGTCTCTGGTTCTAGGCATATCGCTCATGACAGCTGGCCTTGGTTCACAGCTAGGCCTCTTCTGGGCACCTCCAAGCCCAGCAGGAGTAGTAGCCTATGATGGGTGGCCCCGGACAGAACAGTCAGTGGCTGACCTTGGTCTGCACCTCCTGGGAGGCCCCAAAACAGGCACACCCAATGGACAGCTACAGAACACAATGGAGCACCACCCAATCACTTCCACAAGTGACACACTCAAGGGGCAGACTTAGTGGGCACTAGAGCCCTGAAAATTTAAGTCCTGCTCGGTGGAGTCCAGCCCCTGAACAGCTGATTCTCCATGGTGGTCTGAGGTTGGTGGTCAGTGATCACAGCCAGTCTGTATAGTTGATTGACATGGAGGTATATTACTTCCATTGACCTGCCAATAGCAGTTAAGGCTCAACTACAAGAGGAGGGGTGCACACAGCCTACACAGTGGGTGCACCCTGAGTATCCATCTTAGGTTATAGGGGAGGCTGTGCCACTGGACCCTACAGGACACCTACTACATCAGGTCACTCTACAAAGCCAGGGAGTCATAGCAGTTCTAACTAATACATAGAAACATAGAAACAAACACAAGGAGGCTGCCAAAATGAGGAGACAAAGAAACACGGCCCAAATAAAAGAACAAAACAAAATTTCAGAAACATAACTAACCAAAATGGAGACAATTTACTAGATGCAGAGTTCAAAACACTGATTATAGGGATGCTCAATGAACTTAGGGGAAGAGCGGATGAACTCAGAGAGAACTTCAACAGCGTAAAAGAGGACATTGAAACCATAAAAAAAAAAAGACCAGTCAGAAATGAAGGCTATACTAACTGAAATGAAGAACAATTTACAATGAATCAACAGTAGAGTGGACAAAGACAAGAATCAAATCAGTGATTTGGAATATAAGAAAGCACAAAACAGGCAATCAAAACACCAAGAAGAAAAAAGACTTTAAAAAAATGATAGTAGGAGCCTCTGGAACAACTTTAAGCATACCAATGATGTGGACCCCGGCCAGCAGGGTCCATGTGTTGTGGATGTGACAGACAAATTCACACAGACTACAGAAGTCCTGTGGAGAAAAAGGGACCGTGTGGCCACTCTCTAAGTGAGAGAAAGGGCCCCAACCCCTGCCTGAAGAGGCTTTTATTGCTTTTCTGGGTACATTACATGGAGGATGGCTCTCATTTACTATGCACAGGTTCGCTGTAGGTGATTATCTTTTACAGATAACAAAGGAAGAATGTTGCTAATTACTTCAAAGAGAAGAATGTTACAGATCAAAGGGAAAGTGGTTGAACTTGTTACACTCCATACTTGGGAGGTTTAGCACAGATTTTAGGAAGTTACTTTAGAGATATGCAGTAAACATTTTCTGCCTCAATCCAGGGTGAGGGAATTTTAGCAAAAGCAAGTCTCATTGCAGCCTAGCTATGAGGCAGGCCTGATTCCCCATGGGAGAACCTATTCCTGGGCGTGGGTCCTGTGTGCCAGACCTCACTCCCCACTGGCCTTTCCGAGTGGGGGCTGGGCTGCATTTCCCATGCCATGTGGAACAGTCCCCTATATACCAACACTAGCATCATAGGGTGTCAGGAGAAGAGAAAGAACAAGAAATTGGAAACCTACTTGAAAAAACAATGACAGAAAACTTCTTTAACTTGGTAAAGAAAATAGACATGCCAGTCCAGGAAGCTCAGAGAGTCCTAAACAGGATCAACCCAAGGAGGTCCATGTCAAGACACATCATAATTAAAATGCCAAAAGTTAAATACAAAGAGAGAATTTTAAAAGCAGTAAGAGAAAAGCAGTTAGCTACCTACAAGGGAGCTTCCATAAGACTGTCAGCTGCTTTTTCAAAAGACACTTTGCAGGCTAGAAGGGACTGGCAAGAAATATTCAAAGTGATGAAAAGCAAGGACCTACAGCCAAGATTATTCTACTCAGCAAAGCTATCATTTAAAATCAAAAGACAGATAAAGTTTCCCAAACAAGAAAAAAGCTAAATCAAATCATTATTAGATGAAATGCTAAAGGGACTTATTTAAGAAGAAGATCAAAACTATAAATTATAAAAGGGCAATAAATACATATCTACCAGTAGTTGAATCTAAAAACCAAAATAAATAAACAAGCAGAACAGAAACTAAATAATGGATACAAGAAAACATTTTGATGGTTGCCAGATGGGAGAGGGTTGGAGGATGGACAAAAAAGGTGCAGGATTAAGAAGTACAAATCGGTTGTCAAAGAATATTCATGGGGATGTAAATTACAACATAGGGAATAGAATAGCCAAAGAACATATATGTGTGACCCATGGACATGGACAACAGTGTAGGGATTGCCTGAGAGAGTGGAGGGAGGGGGTTTTAGGTGGAGGGGGGCAGAGGGGGAAAATTAGGATAACTGTAATAGCATAATTAATAAAATATATCATTTAAATTTAAAAAGAGAATAAGAGGTACAATAAACTTTTGGTTTTTAAAAAATATTATAGGGTCCAACAGAAGTAATGCCTGCTTGAGTGTGGCTGATAGGGTAATAATATGTGTGTAATAATTTATAGCTTTAATTTGAACATTTCACCTAAAATGTCATATGGTGTGCTTAAGTGTGATATTGTTGTGTTACACAATTACATGCTTATGATTCTGTAACAAAAGATTTTATAATAAAAGGGGCATTATTTGTGCCAGACCCCTGTGTGACAGTATACACACACACACACACACACATATATATAAACATTTGTATATCCATGGATATATGTGTCTATATAGATTTACATATATCTCTCCACCTGTGTGTGTGTGTGTGTGTGTGTGTGTATGCCAGGCACTAGAAGTAACTATACCCCAGTGGCAATGAGAGAACGGATTTTGGTGTTCAAATATCACTTCCCCCAAAAAGAAGAAGCCAGGGATCCTTGGAGAAGTGGTTCCTTCCAGGGCTGGGGCAGGGACAACACAAGATAAGCCTGAATGAAGCATCTTAGGGTGTCTGAAAGTAAGGAAGTTCTCACAAAAGGATGGGGGTCAAAAGCTACTGAGAAAATTCCCAATGGCCAAAGCTGGTATAATTTGAACGTAAAATAAATAACAAAAGTGTAGGATAATAACCAATAGAAAATAAGCCAGTCCATACTGATCAAATAACTGAACACATAAATAAATGGGAAGAGGGGGAAGCTTTTCTTTACAGAAGAATTTCAATAAATAAATGAAGAAATAATGGAAACAGAAAGTCACCATCACAATATCACATTAATAATTACTGAAGGCCAAGATCCATCAACGGATGCTCAAGTCAGCAAGAGAAAATTTGAGGAGAGACAGGATATTTGCATAGTTTACAAGTTTTCTCCCAAGATGTCAACTATTTACAAAGGGAAATACAGTAACTTTACATTAGAGAATCCCTGCATACAACACCTTAACTAAGTGGTCAAAGGTATTATCAGATGCAGTGTATCACACACCCTCTCAAATGACTCTAACAGAAGGACACACAGGCTTCTACGGTATCAACAAAAACACGCAACCTTAATCAAACCATGAGAAAAATTCACACAAAACCCAACGAAAGGGCACTCTACAAAATAAGTAACCAGGACTCTTCAACAGCATGAAGATGGCAAAGGACAGAAAAGACTGAGCTGCCACAGACTGGCTCCAGGCCAACTAAATGCAATGTGGGATCTTAGATGGGCTCTTGGAACAGAAAAAGTTCCTTAGTATTAAAAAACTGATGAAATCTAAAGAAAATTGGTATAGTATTATAGCTATGTTGATTTCTTTTGAAAAGTTTGCCAGTTAGGTGTTAACATTAAAGTAAGCTATAGAGAACTCTATTACTTTTGTAGCTTTTCTGTAATTGTAAAATTATTTCAAAATAGTCTTTCTAAAAAAACGTGTGAATTGGTGTTTTACATAAACAAGACAAACATTTAGATGTCAAAGCACTTGAATCGTATTCACTGCACTAACTTGGTGCAGGGGGTGGGGGGAGGAATCGGGGTTCGGGGCGCTACAAACTTTATCGTTTAGTACTTAAAACTGTCACCCGCTGAGTTCCGTAATACTCATGTTTCCCACGAGGAAAATGTAGATTACTTAAGAGAGTATTTATCACTGAAAGACCCCGTTTCTCAGAAAAGGTCCAAAATCTCGGGAACTCCCCCCGCCCCGCATCACCACCACCCAAAGTGATGCACACCTGCCATCAGCCTGGAGACCCCACATCTCCCCACTGGCGGCTCAGCACACCCCCAGGCACGCCGCCCCGGGTATCTGACTCGGAGACCGGACACTGAGTTTGGAAAGTCAAGTCGAGGCCTTCGGTGCTGCCATACAGTCTCCTCGCAGAGCCTCGGATTCCGAGTGTGCAACCGGACGGAGTCAGACGTGGGACCTCCTCGAACCGGCCGCTCGGACGCTCCTCCTCTGGCTCCAGGTCACCCCCTCCTCACCACCCGAGAGCCTCGCCGCGCCCCTCGCGGCGGCGCCCAGCGCGCACCCGGGCCACACACACTGAACGCCCCCCACCGAACAGCCGATGGGCGGGCCGGTCTCGGTCCGGGTCTCGGACCGAGGTGCCGGGGGCCCACACGACCTGGGCCCCACAGTGCGATGCGATGAGAGCAGGGCAGACGCCCGGCACCTCTTCACCCCGCGACCGTGGGAGACCATCGCACTGGTCCAGTCGACCGCCTCCCTACACTAGTTTCCAACAGTGGCTTCCGAAAACGAAACCGCCACTTCTTGGAAATGCCACGTCACTCGCATTTCCGACCTGATGCCCCGAGTCCCTGGGGGTCGCCGGTACCGCACACCCAGCCCACCATGCGGATCAGGGCCTGACGCCCCTGAGGCGACCTCCCAAGAGTCCCTTACCTCCTGCCGGGGAGCTGGGGCGGTCGGTGCGCACGCGCAGGCGCGGGCAAGACGGGGCGGGGCGTCGCAATCGGCCCAAAGGTTAGGCCACGCCCCCATCCACCCTGTCCCAGCCTCTCGGGGCGTGGTCAGCACGCCGGAGAAAACAAACGCTGGCGAAAAATTTTTTTAAGAGTGCTCTTGTTTTTTGTAGTGGGGTTACAAACCAGGAGGAAGGACACGCATGGACGGTTTTTTAGGTCAGTTTGTTGTGTTTTACCTATGTGTTCACATTAATATAGCCCTCTGCATTTTGCAGAATTTTTCTGTTCCTTTCCCTCTGTCCTTCCAGGAATTTTATTGGCAGGCTGGCCGTGTGTCCTTACATATTGAAGCTCAGAAAGGTACAGTGTCCCTCTTGCCGGTGTCTCTCGTTTCCCCTCCCCCCACACAAACACGCAAAATTGTGTGGTGAAGAGAGCACAAGTCTTCATTGTAACAGGCCCAGAAATAGAAGCTCAGACAAGTCGTGATTTTCTCCCAAACTGGTGAAGTCCTTAATACCAATGTCCTTATTCCAAGTTTATAGCTAATGACACTGAGGCCCAACACAGGTTTGTTAAATGACTCACTCTGCTTCAGCCAGTTAGTGACTGACTTTGAACTCCAACTGGGTTTGCTAATTTCCTTCTCAAGTTCTTCCAGTTATACCAGTTACCATCTATAAACAAGCAGATGGCTGGCTTTGAAGCCATGCACAGGTCACAGGTGATGGCCTAGCTTCCAAGCCCAGACTTTTTATATGAATTTGTGAATATTCGGATGACTTGCTTAGAATCTATCCACTCATGGTACTGTCCTCAGAAGTCATGTGGATGTTCAAGCCTAAAAAACCTCAGTTCTTCAGGTCCTCCAGTGGAGTGGGCATAGAGGTAGAAATTGTGGACTAAGGAAGATTGATGACCTGTAAGAAAGGCTTGAAAGGCAATTTCTAGAACAAATCCCCAAATCTAAGCAATTTGGATTTTCTTTGTGGGTATTATAAATGCTGGTGCTCGTTTTATTCTAGAAATGAGGTGTTTATACAATTTTATTCCTAGGAGGAAAATTAAAGTATCAGGCAATATCATGAGAAAATAATTTTTAAGTAAAGGTCAGTTAAACAGCATCTTTTGAAGTAAAAGTCATGTGAGGTATGTTCTGAAAAAGCTATCTCAAGTACAATAGGGAGGCATGGCACTCAAGGATTCTAAGTTTGAACCAAGCCTTCTGGGTTATTACATGTATGTTTGCTATAAGTTGGGTGTGTTGAGGTGGCAGGATAGAACTTTTTAACCTAACAGTTTGTTAGCTTGATTTGTAATCTTTCAATATTTAAACATATGGTGTGCGGACTTCCTTTTGTACTTTTGCTCTAGACCCTGAAGTTGTTAGGAGCAGGCCTGCTGCTAGCAACATTTTCCTGAGGTTCTAACTGAACCAGGAAGGCCAAATCATAAATATATATGTAATTCTTTTCAGGTATCATTGCTACTTACTTGGAAAACCCAAGAAATGGATTGAAACAAATTCAATAAAGTGTCTAAAGAAATACCTTTCGTAAACAACAATTACCAATTTTAAAATGTGGGAGAAAAGATCACTTTCAAAACTAGCTGAATCAACTTTGTGTTTATAGGGAATTACAAGATCTATTTGTAGAATTAAGAATAATAGCTAAATGGGTGGATACAGAGGGATGGATTACAAAGGGGTATGAGGAAACTTTGGGGGTGATGGATGTTTTCATTATCTTAATTGTGGTACTAGTTACATGGGTGTATACTTATGTCAAAACTTACCAAGTCTTTAAATATATGTATGTGTTTATTGTATGTCAGTTGTACCTGAATAAAGCTGTGTCTTGAGGAATGGCATATACAGAGCAGGGCAAACTCTGTGTTTCATGTACTCACAACTGTAAACCTACTTTTGCCCCCCCCCATTATGACTTAGAGCCTACACACTTCTTAGAACAGATAAGAAAACAATATATTAACCCCACAAATTAAGAAATAATCTTTCTAGCCCTGGCTGGTGTAGCTCAGTGGATTAAGTGTGGGCCTGGGAACCAAACAACCACAGTTCTATTCCCAGTCAAGGCACATGCCTGGGTTGCAGGCCAGTTCCCAGCAGGGGATGCACGAGAGGCAACCATACATTGATATTTCTCTCCCTCTCTTCTTCCCTTCCTCTCTAAAGATAAATAAATAAAATCTTTAAAAGAGAGAGAGAGAAGCACCTTTAAAAAAAGAAATAATCTTTCTAGTACCATAGAGCAAGTACCTGGAATACCTGAGAATCAAATTCAAATTTGGCACAATAACATAGAACTCCTAGGTTATCTTCCCAGCTCAGTTCTTTTCTGGGAACTGTTTCTCCCCACCAGATCCACATGCTATGAGTTGAAGAGCTTCTGGCAGCTATTTTTACAGGCATGAACCCCCACCGCAGACCACAGTGAATCAGTCCAGATGCAGACACCTGACTCAAACTGGAACAATAAGATACCTTCCCAGGAATCTGGAGTCTGGACTAGAATCCTAACGTTAGTCTGGCTGGTTTCTCGAATGGAAAAGATACTCACAGCAGCCCTCTTGGGAGCCATGTTTTTCACTTCATCCACTGGTGAATCAGAGAAAGCCATGCTGCTCATACATCCTATTTATAAGTATGGAGAGATAAATATGTATATCCTGGTAATGGTGCTTTAAAAAGGAGTTGTTTCTTTAGTGTAGGTCATGTTCAAAAACTTTTAAATGCCACTGCCTTCTCTAGGTTCTTTCTCTAGTCATGAATTGTTGAAATATCTACTGTGGTTCTGAATACATTCTATTTAGCTGCGCATTTAATCTTCCCAATCATCTTGTAAACCAAGTTGAAGAAAGGCTCAAAATAAAGTGATAATAATGCTTATTTTGGGGATGAGATTAACTGGGAAAGGGCATGAAATCGCTTTCTGGGGTGCTATAAATGTTCCATATGTTGATCTGGTGTGATTTCACATGTGAAAATTTATTAAGCTGTACACCTAAAATATGTGTACTTTATGTAAGTAATACCACAATAATAGAGGACATAAAGAACTAGCAATTCTTGATTGAAAACAAACAAAACATCTTAGTAAACAAGGAAGAGACACTTCCTTAATATTATTTCTTTCTATTACCTCTTTCTCTGAAATAGTGGAGAAATAGAAGCAGTAATCCCTACCCTTTTTACAGCCCCTCACCCCTCTGAACATATAAGAAGAAGTCATGCAAGAGATAGAGACAAGAGGGAGGCAAGGATGATTAGATGCTCGAAAAGAAACAGAGTTTGCAGCACAAATTTCTCATTCCAGTTTATTCCTGAGGCTTAACTGCATCCCAACACTTGGATCTGGTTATACCCCAAACCTTTTGAAACTTCCTCAGTTCCCACCCTGCTTTTCCAAAAACTGCTTAAACTAGCCAGGTGAACTTCTATCACTTCCAGACAGGAGAGTTCTGACTGTTGTAGGCACAGAATCCCATTTATTTTTAATGTCTTATAATATCTTCAGCTTACATGTAGTATTCACTGACTTTAGTACTTAATCCTCCCCACTTTCTGCTTTGCTGTCCCCTGCTGCCAACACACACACACACACACGACCAAACAGTCTGTTCATATAAATTTAAAGAGACCTTCTATCAAACCAAGAAAAGTAAACTCTGTAGATAATCAATAGCATGAAAATCCTCCACTCATTAACCATTCACCACTTAGGAATTTGATAATCATTTTGTTAATGGTGAATTGCATCAGATGTTATCAGCAAAGTTAGACCTCAGTCCTTCAGTTTGATTAAGTATTCAGAGCCAGGAACTCAAATGCAAGCAAAAATCTAGAAAATCAAAGAGGTAGAAGTGAGCCAGCAGGTCTATGTGGACTCAGGAGACAAGAAGGGTCCTTGGAGCTTAGTAGAAAAAAAGCAACAGGTACATGCCTTGAGGGAAGAAAGGGGGAAGGCATGGGCGTGCCTGAGATGGGGGGGGCATGCATGTGTGTGCAGGTGCACTGAGTCCTTTGTCTTAAGGGGTTTTATCTATTCCAAAGGTGGAAATTTTGGTGGAGATCTCAGAAGAGCATCTCAATAGAATATTCATCAGCTCCCCAAGTGTGTCCCTTCAGAGTCTTGCTCTCAACTGATTGGTCAGCACTAGGGTAGGAGGTCATTAGTCATTTCAGCTGCTTCTGATGTCAGCCGTGGCGTCACTTCTTCTGATTTGGTGCTTCTCTGGGCCTGGAGCTGAAACACAACTGAGGCCTAAATGTTATCTCTAGTTTGACCAAAACTCTGTGGTCAATAATCCTAAGATTATTTGATACCGACCAGAACCTCATTGTCCAGGGTAGGGTGGGGGGTGGTCATTTGAGGGCTTATATGGGAGTCATATGAAGCCCCCTTGTTCCAGCCCCCTTGTTCCTCCTCCAAAGGGCTCTACCACATGGCTAGTGACATGCCAGGGGCAGAAAGGTCAGGGGAGGGTCTGAACCATATGACCAGCAATATGAAAGGTCAGGGGGTCTAAACTGCATGACCAATGATATGCTGGGGGGCGGGCTCACCTTGGGGGCAAGGTCCCACCCTACAATACTTGTTTTTCTAGTTTTACATGTTGCTAGGCACCCAGGGCTTTCTGCTCCAGTGTCTTTCTGTACTTGGCCTATTGTTCCTACCCTACTCCTGTCTGTCTGACTGCCCACTATGTCAATTTTATATGTAGAGTGGCTTCCATGCCCAGACACCGGCCTACAGACTTCCCCCTTTTGTTCTTTTAATTACCTTATTCTCAAAACTTAGTGTGTCCAAGAATTATTGCATAAGGTAGTGTTTATAAAAACATGTTTAATGGACCTTATGGGCAATGTGAGTGGTTTTTAAGGGTCATTTAGACGCTAAAATATTTTTTGCTTTATTCGCTGAATTTAATTCTCATACCCACACCCCTCACTATTCAAATCACCCTCAAAAGATGCAACTTCACTTCACACTCTGCTTGCAATGAAA